ATTAGACTTCTAATTATTGAGATTCTTTGTATAAGGATTATCTGGGTGAATATTATCTTTCTTCCCATGTGTGCCATTTATTTTTCATTCATATATTAAAGGATATAAATTAAATTCTTATGATAAATAGGCTTTTATTCTACAACAAATCTATAAAATTAGATACATAATTATATATATATAATACATTTATACAGATATTTATTTTATGCAATTATATACAATCATGTAATCATATTAAAGCAGTATAATGTAATATATTTTTTATACAACATGCCTATATATTTTATGTAATACACATAAGTAAAAATGATAATATGCATAGATCGCTATGTTTTTTTGCTAAAACCTAATACAATTATTAAATATATATATTTCAAATATAAATACAAGATAAATGATATAACACTCATTATTAAAATAATAAGAATTGTAATATGAATCATATCTCTAAATATAACCCCTGAAATATTACCTTTAACCAGATTTAAAATATTGAATTTATGTATATTTTTATATTTTATAAATATTCTTCGTAACATGAAATTCAAGAAACATAAGTTATAATATTTATATATATATTCATTTTTATTATTTATACATTAGATGAATTTATATATTTTTGTTCCTTTTATGCATTATTGTTGTATTATAGAATATAATTTTATTTTATTTCTTAACATGATTATCAATATCATATCTATATTAATACGAAATTTTCTAACTATAGTTAACCAATTATTAGAATTATAATTATGACTGCTTAAGAGTTATATCACCTTTTTATATAAGTAATTTTAGATTTTCTTTAAGAATTATATGATATATTATAACACTTTGCTTTCTCATCTCTAGGATAACGTTCACCGTTATACATATCATGTTGGTAGGTTGCGTCGTTTATATTTGTATTTATACTTCTCATTCTTGGTAAGAGAATTCGTAAATAGTTTCTTAATTAACTAAATTATTATTAGAAAAACAACATATTGATTTAACAACTATAATTAATGAAGCCATTTGTTGTTAAATATATTATAACAATATATTCATAAAACTAAAAATTTTAAATTAAATTTTTATTTACTTTATACAGATAAAAAAATTATGTTACCAAAAATACACTGATAAATGATATTGCTATTATAATTTTCATATTAACAGATGCATTAGTAATATGTCGGCTAAAAGAGGCATAATTATCTTCTGAATATGGCTTTATATATTCTTTTTCTCCCCATTCATTACACTCAATTTTATTATTTGAATTATCATCATTATTAAATATTCGTAATATATTAGGATTGCAATTATTATTAGAAAACCATACATTACTTTTAATTGAGCATTTCAGATTATTTAATACATTTAATAAATGTATATTTTCATTAACTGTACTTATAATATGTTTATAATTTTTAATGAAAACTTCTAATTCATTACAATAAAATGACTCACTCTTATTAGTTTTGGAAAATACTTGTAAAATAAACGAAATATTATTATATATATCATATAATTCCTGTATTTTTTGAAATTCATCATTTTCTATATATTTTATTTCTGATGTATATATGTTGTCAGATGAAGAAATTATATTGCTTTCAATATACTTCTTTAAATCCAGAAAAAAATCTTTCCTTTCATTAGAATGAATCAGTTTATCTTGATCGTTAATCCTATAGTTAATATAATTACAAGGTTTTCCTTCATTACAAGAAGCATTGTTAGTGATATTCATAAAATATAATTGTATTTTCTTTATAATTTCCTTAACTATGTTTATATTTTTATATTTACTAAAAAATGAATAACGTTGAACGTATGTATCAATATCTGCAGTACTAAATGTAGGTGATTCCAGTAAATCGAATAAAATCCTAATGAGGTTGTAATCCTTCCAGTTATAGTATTAATAAATAATATATAAGTTATTAGAATTCATGTATTAAAGTAAATTTTATTAAATTAATATTATTAACAAATTCTGCATAGATTTTTTGTAATGAATAATATATTATTTATGTAAAATAAAGGATTATAAGGAACCTTGCTATTAATCGCCCCATGTGTCATTATATTTAAACAAAAGAAATACGAAATTATACAATTAATGTCTCTAGAAATATTATTTGTTTACAGAATCAAATAATAATAAATGTGTAATATTTATTTCTATTTTCAATTATAATATTGAATGCCTCTTAACCCCACAAAATAATTGAATATAATTAAATAAATAATTTGTTGTATAATATTAATATTTAAAAATTAGGTAACAAAGTACGTTAGATGCATAATATAAAATAGTAAATATTATGTAGCCTAATATTTAGTATACATGATCGAAAAAGGAGTCTTAATACAATCAATTTATAATACAGTTGATATTCACATCAAAAAATCAGTAGTGTCGTAATAATCATGCATATTTTTAGAAAAACCAGTACAGCAATTATATATAATGATGCATCATACACATGATATAATGGAATCTATAATATTAAAGAATTTTTATTATATTGTTACATAACATTTCTTATATTATTAGTTGTATAAGGAATAATAAAAATTGAATATATATATTATTTTTTTTAATTAAACTTAATTACAGGATTCCTTTGCGTAAAAATGTTAAATATATATGATTTATTTGTATAGTATATTTTTATTACATAATTAAATTATTATATAATTGAATATTATGAAAAACAATGATACATAAGCGTCAATATATATATAAGAATACAATAAAATTAGAAATATTTGTCATTACAAATCCATATTTTTGTAAATCATATAAGTTATATTATTGAAAAGAATATTCTCACTCTTTAACTGATTATGCATTTTTTTTAAGAATATTATTTAATATTTTATAATATTAGAATTAATAATATAATAAGTATATATTAATCAATCATAAATAAAGAGTAATAGTAAATACTTTTTAAATGATTATATATATATTTTTTTTAATTTTCAGTGCTTTTGTTTTAATTCAAAGATATATGGTATAGGCTGAGAATACATATTTTATGTTTTTGTGTTAATTATATTATTTTAATGCTTAATAATCATTTTATGTTACTACTCTTATAGTGCCTATGTTTTAAACATATTATTAATGTATTTAATTATCAGATTAGTCTTTTTTTTATAAAAATTATCCTTTTTTGTATTGATAAGCGTATACATTTTAGTTTATGTAGCTCATGCATATAATGTATTGTCATTTTATCGTTCTATATAATTTCAAAGCCTTAATATTTATTTCTTATTTTATAGGATGCCTAAAGTTTTTTCTTTTTAATTTGTTGATTTTATAAATGATATAATCATCTATTCTTTTAATATAGTATTTAATTAAGCTAATTGCATTCTATTAATATATTATATACATCATACTTATAAGTAATGTAATATATGTTATTCATCATTGTATATATATTGGTTTTTTTCTATTAGTATCTATTTATTACTGTATTATATAGTATTTATATATGTTTTATATTTTTTATTTTAACATTCCTTTCTGTATTTGTTTCAGGATACATATGAATAAGGGGGAAAAGAAATTTTCTTTGTTATTTTGAATTAATAAATTAAATATATATATATTTTTATGACATTTTTATGCTAAATATATTAATATATTTTTATCAATACAGTATGTACAAGTTAAAAAATATAAGTATAATAATTATTTTATATCCTAATAGTATATATTATATGTAATAATAATATCCTTATTAACTTATTGAATTTTTGTTTTCTATTAGAATTCTATAAAATGCATGTTACACTAAAATATTATTTATTTTTATTTATCTTAATACATATATATAATTAATAATATATTTATATATAACATTTTATTATTCTATAATGGATTTATTTATTTATAATTTAATATTGTCAAGTTATACTATATTATTTTCTCATCTATACTAATGTGTATACTTATAGTATTAATTTAGTGATTCATTTTTATATACTCTATTATAGATTTATATATATAAAGAAGTCAGTGTATATTTCATTAAATTAAGAATAAATTATATTCTTTTATTATCTCAATTAATGTTGTATTTTTTTGAATATTTAAATATATTAATATAGTTAGTAAATTATTTACTGAATGAATAATTAAACTAATGAATAAGAGAATAAAATAAATTATTAAATATATTCAATTTAGTAAAATAATTAATATAATATATTTTTTTTTTTTTTATACAACTTTTTCATTCTTATGATGTAAAATTAGGATGATAAATATGCATTCTCTCGTCATATATATATGTTTTTTCCAATGTACATAACTTCATATTGCAAATCAGAGTATGTTTATATTTAAAGTGTGCTATTTTTATCATTAGAAAACAGTTTTATTTATTTTTATTTTAAGAAAGTGTAAATTAATATTAAATTGTTATATAATTAATGTATCAAATATTTATCCCATACAAAAATTTATAATGAATAAAATCAATAATAGAATATTAAAAAAATGAGAACAGATGAATTGAATAATCTTATAGAGAATGAAATGAGGAAAATTACCATAATAATAATTAAACTCAAGAAAATGATTTAAGATAAATAATAAATTACATGAGTTGTAGTACCAATACACTTTGTAAATTATAACTATGTATTTTGAAACATGTATATAAGAAATTTTTACTAAATTAATGGAATTTTAAGAACAATAATGAATATAAAAATATGAAAAGCACAAGTCATTTGTATAGGTTTTATTCTTGTTTTGCCTCATATTATATAAGAGTGAAGGGATTTTTATATAATAAACTATACGAATAGAATGAATTATTTTGATGCACAATAACAGTTTTATTATCATTATCCAACCTTATTAATATTGTCATGAAAATGCTTTGAAATAATTTTTTATATAAGAGAGTTATGTATCCAATATAATTTATTATTCAAATGCTTTTAAACAATTATATATGTGATCTTTAGTCTGCCATAATAATACAAAAGAGATAACATGCTTAACAATGTTTTAATACATTTTTTATTGGGTTAAAGTAAATATATAATCCTCAATATTTTTTTATTCAATTTTATTGTATATATAATTCAAAATAATATTATGTTTTCTTATGTTACTTTTATTTATACAACATACATTTGGTTCAATTTAACTTATTAATTTCATTCTTACAATAATAGCATTGCAATTTTAGAAAAATTTTATTAAGGTATATATATACATACAATTATTTGATCTTATCTGTCTCAAAAAAATATTATTATAATTATTAACTGTTTAATAATCATATGAGTTTCCAATGGGATTATATCATGGTTATACATTTAATATTTTTTTTTTGAAAAAACGCTGCCAAAAATATCCCTTCATTATTTGTACCCTCATAAACATCACTAGATTTACTTTAATTTTTTGTAATTATATAAGAATATGATATATTCAAATATTTGTGTTTCCTAATATTGTGACAATAAATATGTCTAATTTGATGTTTTAGAAAAAATAATAACAAATTTTTTATTTACATATCTTTTTAACAAATGAATATATAAAACACACATAATTCTTAGGAAAAATATCAATAAGAAATGCTTTTGGCTATAATTACATTATTAAATATAATAATATATTTATAGAAAAGATATCGTGACATTTCATGCATCACAAAAAATCCTCATAAAAATTTTAATAGTGAATCTAAACATGAATGTAATAATAAAGATTCCAAATACTCTGAATTTATTAAAAAATTCATATTCATATTTTACATATTAAATAGTATGTAAAAATAAATAATATATACGTTTATGTAGTAAAGACAATAATTTTTTGGCATTCCATAAAAATGTAATGAAATTTTTTTTAAAGAACTATAAGAATAATCTAATTGTCCAGGGAATATTGGAACAAATAGAAATTTGTTATTATATGTACTAAATTGTATCGTTACTATATGTTAGATACGAATTTTTTGTTATGTTTTATTGTTATTTTATATTCTTTATAAACAACCTGTATATCATTTTATGTTATGATATATCTTTTAAAAATATATTAATTCAAAATATTTTAGATTTATATTTATTTGTATTTTTTTCAAAATAATAAATTACCCATTTCTTATATTTTTGATACATAATTAATGCAAGAAACAAAAGAAAAAATAAATTATAGTTCTTTCAAGAATAGATATTCCCAGGTTGAATGTATAAAATGTTACAATTTGTAAATTCTTAACGGAAAAATTTAGTGGATAACATTATAATATGTATACATATGATATGATGGTATATAATTTAAGATTCATTTTAAAGAACTATAAAAGGCATATATTTAAAGTATTTTATATAGGTTTTATACATAATTACATCAACGAAAATATACAGAAACAATTATATACTAAATGAATTTTTCTCAAGTTGATATAAATATAATTTATTATAATGCTGTAGTCAAACCAAAATATAATTATATCATTTTGTGTATTTTCCTAATATACTATTTTCAATACAGTTTTTGAACATTAAGCAATACATGTATTTTGAAAAATATGTTGTATTTTTTGAGATTTCATTATGTAATGCTGTACATTAATTATAACGTATAAAAAATGAAAATTTTATTTGTATAATATTTTCATATTATGTCAAAAAATAATTATTTAATTTTTTATTAGGATATTTTTTAACGATTTTGTAATGCCATGAGTAATTTTATAATACACAAAAAATAATAAAATGAAATATAAAATATATTATATTTGTTGTGGTCACGAAATATAGTAGTAATTATACTATTCTTGTGTAACAGAAACATATTTTTGCTACAATTAATGTGGTGATGTATAAAATAAACGTTAATTAGGGTAAAAAAAGGTTATCAATTATACATGATGATATATTAAGTTAAAATTATTATTCATATAAAATAATTTTTATTATTTAATAATATATAAAAAATTATTCATTCAAAATGTATTTTAAAAAATATATAATATAACTTATAAATTTAATAAAGCATATTATGCAATATATTTATGTGCTAACATTATTAT